CATTTTGGGCTCATAAAGCTTTTTCCCCTCGACTTCAGATTTTTTGGCTTCTTCGATCTCAGCCGACAGGTCAAAACCTCGAGGGTGAATCTCCTCGAGGATCTCTTTGTGGGATAGGTGCTTCATATATTCGGCCTTTGCCTTCAGGCGGACTTCGTTTGCCTCCACATCAGCCTTGTATTCGGCCACCATTTAGTCGGCATCTGCTGGAGGTCGTAGCCAACTTAGACTTCACTGCGTCGTATTATCTATCGAGGGCATCCCTCTCTGTGACGACGAAGCTTAGCTGTGCTCAAAGATCGTCGTTCAACTGAGACCACTTGTCAGCTTTCTCCTTCGCCACTCATAGTTGGACCTCTACCGATGCCAGCTTTGCCTTGGCGGTTTCCTTCTTCAAAGCCAAAAGGTCCATTTTGCTTTTCTACCCATTGGCCATGGCTTGGATCTCGTTCATCTTGGCTCGGATTTGGTCAATCAGGTCGATCTTCTGTTGGACCTGTGAGGTTATGTTGTTAGTCACCACGACTAGCTCCTCATTTTTAACTTCAAAGACTTTTACCTTTTCAACCAGGTCAGCATATTCCTGCCTCAGGATCAAAGCCTCCTTCTGAGCCCTATCCATCTCGACCTGAAGACCCTTGATGGATACATATTTATATTGCTGAATGTTATGTGCATTCTTTGTTCACTTTTTTATAAGTATGTCGGGTAAACAAAAGGTTGGCCTTCTCACATAGGCAACCGCCTCCTTATCTTAGTGATGAGAGGAGATGAGACATGATTCTAAGAAAAATTATCATAAGGATAATTTGAGAGTTATTCTCTTAAAATCAGAATGTCGCTTAAATAATGACATATGGTCAGTATGTGAAAAACGTTCACTTAGTCTACTTTATGAGCTAGATGTGAGTTAAATATGATTTTGTAGATCAAGGAACTCAAATTTAGATACTTATGGTGTCTAAATATCATATGTACAGCATTCTTTATGAGATAAAGACATACGCTCCCTAAGAAAAAGGAGAAAATGATATAGCACATGTTTCATACCATGTGTGCTAATATTGACCAATTGGGTTAACATAAGTCTATTCTTAACTTATTGTTGTGTGAGACCCATAGCTTTCATGATGGCTCAAGATTTTTTACCCTCGGAGACTTCGATCAAATACCTGAGACTTAGTATGATATTAGCTATTTTAGTATGTTTCTAAAAGACCATGAACACAGATTTGGTCTAGCGGAGCATATCTAGAGAAGCAGTCATACTAATGTTAATGGGATCGTGAGAAGAGGAAGATCATTGATGGAATCTCATTTATTTGTTTTCACTGGTGCACCAATTATAACTTATGAGTTATGATTGTGAATACAATAAATAATGATATATGATATTTTGAGACTATATCAAATGTGATTTATATGATCTAGGGTATTGCATACTTTATGATCTACTTGCAGGTTTAGTTCGACGAGAGGTTATTCCTAGCAGATGTATAGCACTTAGCTCTCACAGTATGCTGGTCGCACGGTCTATTTCCATGTATGAATGATTGAGGAGAAGGGAATATATTTCTCAAATAAGATGAGCACTCCCTTTATGTGTAAGTGGGAGATGTAGGAAAATTGGGTCCACCCATAAAGCGGTGCTTTAAGGCCCAATAGGGTTATTAGTTAACCCTAATATTCTCTATATAAGCATACTTACTGTGTGTCACGACCCAAAATCCAAAAAGGCCGTGATGGCGCCGGACACCACTGTCAAGCAAGCCAACCATAATCAATTAACTTAATTACCCATTTTAGTATTTTTAAAATAAAAATTTCTTCAATGAAATAGTAAAGATAAAACTCATAGAGTAAATGATAAATATTTTTAGCAACTAAAATTCTAAACAATTCACAACCATTCCCAAAACCCGGTGTCACAAAAGCATGAGCATTTACTAGGGAATTAAAATAAAATACAGCATCTGTCCAGAATACAAATTAGACAGGAAAATATAATAACTCTGAAGGAGACTCTGTTAGCTGCGGATCGTAATATAGAATGCTAGCTCACCTATGTCCCCACAATTATTAACCACACCTATGCGCCCACAAGATCGCTATATATATATATATATATATATATATATATATATATATATATATATATATCTACCTGCACAATAAAATGTGTAGCAAGTGCAGTATGAGTACGAAAATAACGTGTACACAGTAAGTATCAAGCCTAATCTCGAAGTGGTAGAGTCGAGATAGCCGACTTTGACACTCACTATGGGTCAATAATAATAATTGAAATAAAACTAGAATATCTAAATCAGCATAATTCACAGAATTTACAATAATTTATTTAACCAGCAGAAATAATCAAATTCCTTCAAATGCAACAACTCTCAATATATTAATTAAATTCCTTCAATTCAAATAATTTTTAGTTTTTCAATTAATCTCATTTACAGGAATAACAATTAATTCCTTAACAAGCAGGAATAATAATTCATTAAATTCCAAGGATTCTCCAATTTATCAATTAGCTTCTCAAGCATAAATAAACTATTAAGGTATCGTGTAATTATTATTATTAAGCACGATTTCTGCCGAGGTCGTTCGGCCCGATCCTGAGTGTCGTGTACACTGCCGAGGGACGTGCGGCACGATCCATAGATGCATCTATCCTGCCGAGGCGTTCGGCCCGCTCCACAAGAAAGGAAGACATTTTTCTTATGTACCTCCGGGAATGAGAGTATGTTTATTATAAGATACATTCGAGAGGATGGACAATTTCTTTTAAAAATTTATTTAATCTAAATAAAAATTAAGCATATGAAAATTTCATCTTTTACTACCTTTCATAACAATTCACAATATACACATCAAATAATTTAATTAATAAAGAATACAATTTACACAAGTAATTCATGCTTTGAGTCCTAAACTACCCGGACTTTAGCATTAATAGTAGCTACGCACGGACTCTCGTCACCTCGTACGTATGTAGCCCCCGCAATTAGCAATAATTATTTAATTTAATCCCTATGGGGTAATTTTCCCCTCACAAGATTAGACAAGATACTTACCTCGTCTCAAAGTCCACTTTTCGATTACCACGTCGCGTTTAATTCTCGATTCGACGCCGAAAAATCCAAAACTATCCAGATATTATATAAAATAATTAATATATGCTAAATAATTCGAAATTTATCTATTAAATAAATTACCTTATCCAAAATGATAAAATTTCTAAAATTCACCCCGGGCCTACATGCCCGGATTTCGAAAATTTCCGGAGAAAATCGTTACCCATAATCTCAAGAACTCAAATATATAATTTTCATCCAATTCCATAACCATTTCCGTAGTGAAAAATCAAAAATACCAATTTCTAAGTTTTTCTTCAAAACTCCAAATTTCTACAAATTTTCATGTCTAAATCCATATATAAACCATGTATTTAACTTGCAGTAGGTATAAATTAACTTACCTCCAAGTTGCTAGGTGAATGCTCCTCTCAAGAAGCTCCCAAGATCGTCCGAGAATGAAGAAATGAGCAAAAATACTCAAATCTCTGCTTTAAACACTCACTGCCCAGCGATTATCGCACCCGCGACAAAAATTTTTGCACCCGCGATAGATTTTTCGCACCTGCGGCTTCGCACCCACGATGGAGTTTTCGCACCCGCGATGGGTTTTTCGTACCTGTGGCTTCGCACCCGCGATAGATTTTTCGCATCCGTGATGAATTTTTCGCACCCGCGGCTTCGCACTCGCGATGGATTTTTCGCACCCGCGGCTTCGCACCCGCTATCACACCAGATATCAGCTGCCTCAACTCTTCTTCAAATTCCAAATTCGATCTGTTAACCATCCGTAATCCACCCGAGACCCTCGAGACCTCAACCAAATATACCAACAAGTCCCAAAACACATTACGAACTTAGTTGAGCCTTAAAATCATATCAAACAACGTCAAATTCATGAATCGCACCCCATTACAAGCCTAATGAATTTTGAAACTTCAACTTCTACAATCGATGCCGAAACCTATCAAATCACGTCCGATTGTCCTTAAATTTTGCACACAAATCATAATTGATATAACGGAGCTATGAAAATTTCCAGAACTGAGTTCCGACTCCGATATCAAAAAGTCAACTCCCCGGTCAAATTTTCAAACTTAAATTCTTGTTTTAGCCATTTCAAGCCTAATTTCACTACAGACTTTCAAATAAAATTCTGATCATGCTCCTAAGTCCAAAATCACCATACGGAACTGTTGGAATCATAAAAATTCTATTCTGGGGTCGTTTGCACATAATTTGACATCCGGTCTCTATTTGAACTTAAATGTTTTAATTGTTTCATCTAAATTCCATATCTCGGGTTAGGGACCTCGGAATTTGATTTCGGGCATACACCCAAGTCTCAAATCACGATACGGACCTACCGAAACTGTCAAAATACTGATCCGAGTCCGTTTGCTCAAAATGTTGACCAAAGTCAAACTTGGCCTTTTAAAGCCAACGTAAGGAACTAAGTATTTCGATTTCAACCCAAACACTTCCAAATCCCGAACCAACCATCCCCACAAGTCATAAATCATTTAAAGCACATACGAAAAGTTTTATTTAGGGGAACGGGGTTCTAAAAGTCAAAACGACCGGTTGGATCGTTACACTGTGTACAATAAAAAACATTCTCCGTAGTATTTTTCCATGCTCTCTTCTCCCAAATCAGGCGAGGAGTTTAGACTGTGATGTATGAGGTTGCTCCGTCACAACGTGACAACCACCATCGACCGGTGATTCCAACCGTGGTTCATCCATCTTCCGCTTCTGCTTCACGAAGAACAAGTTTTCGTTTTACAATTTAAACGCTAATCTAATGTGTTTAGTTTATCGCATTATCCTTCATTTTTGTTTCCCATTACCAAAACTATTCTACTTTTTGCCCTCTCTTTCAAGCCTTAAACTCAGGAGACGTGTAAGCGGACCACCATGACTGAAGATGAGTGGGTAAAAGAGTCTATAATTGATGACATTGTAGTGGCAGAGTTACTGTTGTGTCTAAACCAGGTGGCGTCAATATATACGCCCAATTCAAAGCCACCGATACAGTGGAGTGTGCGACAGCGCCGTTCTAATCTCGTCTCAGTTAATACTAACAATCTGACTCTAATGGCTAGCCCCAGAACACCCTTGTCCTGGAGTGGCGCCACCTCCGTCAGCGGTGGAGGGGGAGGAAGCGCGATTGATGTTAGCTTCGCGGAGTCCAGTCGATCATCTTCTCTCCAAACAACCCCGCTACACGAGATCTAAGGCTTGTGCATTAAACACCTATGTATTATCTATATTTATTATTCTTGTTTTTACTTTTTGTAAATACTTTTTCCATGACATGGGAGAAGGAAATGGGAAGGGAAAGAGTGCCAGTGAAAATATTCATAAACTGTTAATTTTTCACCATTTCTTTCGTCACGAGCTAAACCAACCCATTATTGTGCGGCTTCGTTTCACAGTCGCACCTTTTAGTCCTCAAATGACTGAACAACCCCTTTGTTTAAAGGGAAATTGTGTCTTTTCAACATAAGTAGACTTTGTTGATAAATGGACCAATGAATTTTGGTGGTGTAATGTAGCAAATGAAGCTCTGGCTCACTGCCCCACTCCATTTGTCAAAATCAAAGGAGTAACTATTTTTGGGAGAAAGGGATATTTCTTTGATTCTAAAACAGTAGCATGTATTCGTGGAAAATAGGTCTACTTCAGTTTGGTATGGTGGTCTGGAAAGAAAATGTTTGGTTTAGTGGTGTTATTGGTTAATTAAGCACTACTCCTTTGTGTATAATTGGAGTCGTAAAAAGGGTGGAATAAAATGTTGATATTAGTAGTGCAAGTGGTGATTAACTTTCTTTCTTCAGTGTTAATTAGGTAGTTAAGTTCCATTTGTTAGTTATAACTAACTTACATTAGAGTAGAGTTAGTGTGACTAGAGTTAGTATTAGCCGTAACTATAGTTGAGGAGTAGAGTTAGTTTTATTCTTTTCTTCTATATATACTTGTACAGCTAAACTTGTCAGAATTAATTGAAGCATTACATTTCATTTCTCCTCTTCTAGAATATTCCGTCAGATTCACTCTAGCACTCTTCCTCTCTAGAGCTAACAGAGAACTTCAGTTCCACATCCATGGCAGAGCTCGATGATTAGCTGAATTCATTATGGTATTAGAGCCATACAGCCATTAGTGTGGTCTTATCATCTTCAATTTTATTTTTCTCGAAGCTAATTTGGAAGATTACCAATGGCGACTCTCAATAACACGGAACCGGAGAAGTTAAGTCACAATCACCCACTCTTCCTGAATTCGAATGATAATCCAGGTACGATACCGATTTCACTACAACTGAGAGGGCTGGAAAATTACTCTGTATGGAGCCGGGCAATGAGAATTGCAATCCTAGGTCGAAACAAGCTAGGGTTTATTGATGGCACATGCAAAAGAAGAAATTATGGCACAAATCTAGTTGATCTCTGGGAACAGTGTTGTCCTGGTTGATGAATTGTGTATCACCTGAATTGCTGAGTGGAATGGTATATTCCTCAAATGCTAGTGTAGTTTGGGATGATTTGAAAGAGCGATTTGATAAGGTGGACCGTTCTAGGATTTTTCAGATCCACAAACAAATCGCTACTACTAGCCAAGGCACGAGCTCAATTTCAGCTTATTTCTCTAAATTAAGAGTACTTTGGGCAGAGTTTGATAGTTTGGAACCAATTCCTAGTTGTGATTGTGCTAAGTCTCGTGAATTTGTCCAGTTTATGGAGCGTCAAAAGCTTCTAAAATTCCTGATGGGACTTAATGAATCATATGAATAAGCTCGCAGTCAGCTTTTGATGATAGTGCTAGTGCCATCAGTGAACATGGCATATTCTATGCTGATGAAGCGTGAAAGCAAAACGACTATGTCAAATGCTTCTGCTAACATGGATAATGCTTAAATGACTGCCTTGATGGCAAATAAAGCTGGAAATCAACAGAAAATGAGGAAGAACTAAAATCTCTTTTATGACTTTTGCAAGATAAATGGGCATACTAAGGAAACATTATATAAAATAGTGGGATATCCAAATGATCACAAGTTTAAGAAGAAGTACAACACTCAGGCATCAGCTAATCTTGCAACTGAGCAAACTGCACCTGCAACACTCACTTTCACTACCATTGCACCAACCTTCATACCAGAACAAATTCTGCAAGTGCTAAATAGTAATACCACATAAGTTGTAGCTAATGCAGTAGAGCTGGAGTCAGGTAATATCACATCCTTAATGACCTTTATGAATCAAGGTGTTTGGATTGTAAATAGTGGAGCATCGAACCATTTGACTTCAAAATTGGACCTACTGAGTAATCCAAGTCCTTTAGGCAGTAGTAGTTCAGTTCACCTGCCAAATAGATATTTAGCTAAGATCACCCACAGTAGATCCACTAACATATTCAAGGATCACAAAATTAGTGATGTACTTAATATTCCATATTTTAAATATAACCTACTGTCAGTTTCAAAACTTACTAAGGAATTGCAGTACATGGTTGGATTCTTTCCTGATCTATGTGTATTTCAGGGCCTCTACATTGGCAATGTGTTGGGATTGGTATTGGCTATACATTCTTAGGGATTGCCTTCATAAGAGACAGTCATCTACACTAACTGTAAATACCACAGTTATGCAGACTTCAACACAGAATAAGCAGAGCTCAATAAATCTAGGAGTTTGGCACCAAAGGCTTGAACATCTACCTATGGAGGCCATTAAGAGAATTGGCAAGCTCAAGCAGCATTTTAAGAATGATAGTTTACAGGTTGTTTGTTTAGAATGTCATGTTTGTCCATTGGCTAGGCAAACTAAGTTTCCATTTCATGTTAGTACTAGCAGAGCACAGGCTCCTTTTCACCTTTTCATGCAGATGTATGGGGGCCTTACAGGGTGCCTACTCATGATAATAAAAGATTTTTTTCTCATAGTGGTTGATGACTTCTCTAGAATCACTTGGTTGTTTTTGATGAATGCCAACGATGAGACTTATTGGTTGATGAAAAGGCTAACTTGTATGATCCACACATAGTTCAATTGTCATATTAAAACTATAAGAATAGACAATGGGTTAGAATTTATTAACTCAGAGATGAAACATTTTTTAGAATCACAAGGAATTGTTCACCAAACAACATATGTATACAGTCCACAACAAAATGGTATTGTTGAGAGGAGGCACAGATATATACTAGAAGTGGCAAGAGCCTTAAGGTTTCAAGCTGCAATCCCTCTAAAATTTTGGGGTGACTGTGTCCTTACAGCAGTGCACATCATAAACAGGTTGCCTTCCACAGTTTTAAAAGAAAATCTCCATATGAAAAGTTGTTTAACATTGAACCTTCTATAGATCACATGAGAGTCTTTGGATGTTTATGCTATGCTGTAAATGTAAGGAGACAAGACAAATTATCAGTCAGAGTATTGCCTCCCGTGTGTATGGGGTACTCACCCACCAAGAAAGGCTATAAACTATATGACATGCAGTCTCGGCAATTCATAATTAGCAGGGATATAGTCTTTAAGGAACATGTATTTCCTTTCAAGAAAATAAAGGTGTCATATGTCCCAACCTTTCTAGTACCTGAGCCAGCTGATTTATCAGATACTGCAGCAGAGTTATATCAAGATCGGGCAGTTGAACATGTTGCAGTCCAAGACATTGATGCTATGCAGGGGTCTAATGCAGTTCTTAAGGTAACATAAGCTTTCTTTGATGCTTTTCCACTACTAGTCGATAAAGATGTTGGTTCTTCTCCACAGTTACAACATGATTCTCCACCAACAGTTGATACAGATAGTGATGATTCTCCACAATTACAAGTTGTGGGTGATGCATTACCCATTGTAGTCAAAACAACCACCCAGAACTACATGTCCTCCAAAGTGGTTGCACGATTTTGTATCTACCTCTTGTGCATATCCCATGTCAAACTATCTGAGTTATGATAGTTTGCCACCTTCTTATGCTAAATGTCTCTCAGATCAATCATCTATAGTTGAACCCAAATACTATCATGAGGCTTCAAAGGATGAAAGGTGGGTAACTGCTATGCAACAAGAAGTTACAACATTGTAGGAAAATAACACCTGGATGTTGTTGACTTGCCTGCTGGTAAGGCTCCCATAGCGTGCAAATGGGTGTACAAAGTAAAATACAAAGCTAATGGGGAGGTGGAGAGGTTTAAGGCTAGACTTGTAGCCAAAGATTACAGTCCAAATGAGGGCCTGGACTACAAGGAAACATTTTCCTCAGTGGCCAAGATGGTTACTGTTAGATCAGTCATAGCAGTAGCAGCTTCTAAGCATTAACACATTTATCAAATGGATGTGCATAGTGCTTTCCCACAAGGTGACTTATTTGAAGAAGTGTAAATACAACTCCCACAAGGGTATAATATCAATGGGAGTCCAAGACCAAGGTGTGCGAGCTAAGGAAATCACTTTATGGTCTGAAGCAAGCCTCAAGGCAATGGAACTTGAAATTGACATAAGCTCTTAAAGATTTGGGATTTGTTCAAAGTCATTTTGATTACTCTTTGTTTACACAACAGAAAGGTTCTGCCTTGGTTATTATTTTGGTCTATGTAGATGACCTCTTAGTCATTGGTAATGATTCTCAACTAATTCAATCTGCTAGAGACAACCTACAGAAGAAGTTCAAGATGAAAGATGTGGGGGAACTCAGATTCTTTTTGGGCATAGAATTTGCTCGTGGCAAGGCTGGAATTTTAATGAATCAGAAGAAATATGCTCTTGATTTGATTGTTGACTCTGGCCTAGGGGGAGCTAAACCAGTGTCTACCCCATTAGAGTGCAATCAAAGGTTGACCACAACAGAGTTTGATGAGGCTGTCTTATGCATTGATGATGCCACATGTGCAGGTGTTAAAGACTGTGTGTTACCTGATCCTGAACCTTATCAAAGGTTAGTAGGGAGACTACTATATCTAACTATGACTAGGCCTGATATAGCTTACGTTGTTCAAGTCCTAAGTCAGTTCATGCATAAACTAAAAAGGTCTCATATGGATGCAGCTATGAGGGTGATTAAGTATGTCAAAAATGCACCGGGATTAGGCCTATTGATGTCTTCACAGCAGAATGATAACTTGATAGCCTTCTGTGACTCAGATTGGGCTTCTTGCCCTCAGCCCAGGAATTCTATTACAAGTTATCTAGTTAAGTTTGGGAACTCTTTAGTCTCATGGAAATCTAAGA